CAGTTTGAAATTGTAGGAGTTATGCAACCCACAGGAGGATAATTTAAGACTGGAATATTTTGAACATTAGTATCAGAGCCATTCTCCAGGGTGGTTGAGGATTCTAGAATTTCAAAAATGTACATATAAATTTCATTGTGTTGGATTTTGAGAAGATACCTTTTTTATAAGGAAATAATCAAAACTTTTCCCTAGCATTCTATTGAAAGAATTTTCCTTTTTAATAAACCTGTGTACTTGTTATTAAAACTTGATCCTGAAGTAGTCTTTCAGAATGATTCTTGAAAGTAGGTTCCACATGTCACTCCATGGGAGTTTTCAAACATTAGGTGATAAATAACATTGTGAAAAATAGGCTGCCTGGACTTTCATGTTATAGACGTCAAGATGGTTCATGATTTCTGTGCTGCAATGAAGATTACAGGTAGAGAAACGTGTATTTCAGTTTTAAGACTGTCTAGGTATTGAGACTGAATTAGATCTTATGCTACTGGCTGTCATTTGTTCAGTGTGATTTGGTTATGGGAAAGAGTGTTAACAAGGTTGTTACTTTCCTTTTCTAAGGAAAGGTGTCCATCTCTCTCCACCCTTCTCCTTTTCTCTTTAACATGTACTTTGCTAGAGAGATGATAAACTAGCTAAGGAAAACCTTAACCTTTGCTTTTGGCTTCATAAACACACCTTTCTTCCCTTGGCTTTTAGGTTCCTAAGCATCTTAAAGTAAAAGGTTAATGATTTGCTTTGGTTTTCCTGAGAACACAAATGAAATGGAGACAAGAAACCAGGATGTATTTTCTAACTTTGGTGAGGGGAATATGACTCATCTTATTAAAGGCATATAGAGGATCTTAATTCCAGAGAGTAACATATGTTAGTCCCAACTGTTTCTACATGGATCGTGGTGATGCCTTGGAAAAAATGTTATAAAAACGTACTTATTTTCATTCCTATTCACGTGAAACAGAACAAGCCTGGAAATAGACAGTGGACAATAACATTATGCCATTGCTTAAATTACTATAACCACTAATTTGTTGGTAAGATTAACTTGAGCCTGGAAAGCTTTTTGAAGTGAGCCAGTTTCATTCTGGATAACTAAAAATTAAATAATAAAGATTACTTTTTTTCTTTTTTTGTGATACAGTGAACCCAGGAACGTCATGCTAGGCTATACTGCCAATCTTTTTTTCTGATTTTTTTTATTTGAGACAGGTCCTAGCTAAAATTTCTCAGGTTAGGTTTCAATTTGACATCCTCCTTTTTTGAAAAGTCTTATATGTATCAAATCCTCTTATGATTTAATATTAAGAACCTAGAGAGGTATGTTGTTTCCTTACTTAACATAAGACTTAAAGATTGAAGGTCTTTGTATTTGAATGAAAAGGTTTCTAAGTGTCTCTGGAAATATATTTTAAGGGGATAAGTACAGTTAAGATAATGAAGTACTATATGGGTTATAGTTTCAGTGATTACTAAATTGTTAGATTCACTTGTTTCTCCAATTTGCACCAAGGGTACTCATTTTAATACACAAATCTTTTGGTATTGGTGAGAGAACACTCAGAAAGAAATGGGCCAGCAGCAGGAGAGAATAGAGCCCAAGAATAAACAAAAATAGAAATTGACTTCCAAAGGCTCTTGATACCAGTGATTTTCCACTCCTGTTAAGTTTTTGATTTCTTTCCAGAAGGATCTCAACAGTGGCCACCTGCCAGAGGAGAACAATATTCAACTTCTTGTGCCAACTGCGCTCTTGTAGCTGTCTATCTAGCACCTAGGAGCCCCTCAGATTTTTACATTCTCTGCTTATTGCAGAAACATTGCTGCCATGAATCTCCCAGCATTCACTGACTGAATAGCTCGGGGAATTCCTGCAACAGGTGACCCCAGGTCTGGGAAGTACAGGCTCTTGTTGCAGTGGGCAGGTGCAGGCGGCTATTGTGTCATGGGAGGCCACTGATTCAGTCTGCACCACTGGTCTGCCATAAGGATTTGGATTTTGTGGTGAATGTTTCAAGGTCAATAAAATGAATAGAGATCCTTTCAAAGGCCATTCTTTTCCTTCATGGAATCCTGTTCTAAAATCACATTTTTATTGTCTGCACTGGACACAAAGAACCACACCCTCTGCCTCTTTTATTTTTTAAATGTCTTCATAAGTGAAATAACCCTGATAATGTTTTTCCTGTCTTTCTTCAATGCTAAGTGGTTTGTGGAATTTTCCGTATTCCTGCACATCCTCCTTTATTTAAAGCAGTGACCCCATGTTGGAATCATCTTGACAGCTTTTAAAAACACAAATTTCTGGGTTTTATCCTTAGAGATTAGGACTTTACAGGCTGGGCACACAGTCTCAGCACTGGGATTCTTACAAACTCCCAAGCGAGTCTAGTTCACAGTCGAGGTTGAGAACTACTGATTTAAATGTTGTACCAGTTTTTTTAAAAAAAAGGAACAATGTTGATTTATTTTGATAATACATAAATATTTAAACATTGAGCAATATGGTTAATTAAGAATCAATCACATGAAATAAGATGAAATTGAATTTCTTGTTTTGAAATACAGTGCCTCATAGAGCATCATGGGTATGGAAATGATCATTAATTTAAAAACATGTGATCCTATAGATGTAGATATCATGAGATAAGATAAAGGATGGAAAACAATATGAATGCTAATGAAGGTTCATAACTAAAATAATCACTTAACTGTTTTAGTTGCCTCATCTATAAATTCAGAAGGTTGAGCCACAGATAATATCTAAATACCTTCTAGCCTCTTTCTCTGATCATATGATTACTAGCACTTAATTTCTGAGGATACTGATTTTTTTCATAAAACTAGACAAAAAGGATATTCAAATCCTCTGCAAATATAGTTAAACTGTCTACTGTCATTAAGGACATATCTCCATGATTAGAATTAATCAGGCTGTAGGAAGACAGGGTAGTGCATTTCATTTTTTCCCTTTCTCTTCACTCAGCTCTCTGCTGTTAGATTTATTGCAGTAACTCATTCAATAACTACTAAAATTCATTATTTGGTCCACAACTGAATAGCCAAATCACATTAATTGATTCAATGAAAATGCTGTATAATTGATTATATAATAAAAGTATAAATAGGATTCATGGAAAAAAGATCATTTCCCTAGGTTGAATTTAAGGTTAATGTAAAGATATGTGAAATAAGGTTAAATATTAAACCATAAATTGTCACTTTAGTAAAAAAATGGAAACAAAGTCTATGTAAATAGGGAAGGGTGGAGGAAGTGAAGGGCACACAGATAATGGGGAAAAAAATAACCAAGATACATCATGTACAGGTACAAGCACCCAATGATAAATGTAAATGTATTGTTTACCTAAAATGTACCAATAAAAGAATTTAAGGAAAAAAATAAAACTATTGCATCCTAAAAAAAAATTAAAGTTGTACTGTAGTATTATAAAAAAAAGTATAACTAAATGTTTATATAAGTAATAATGTATTGATTATAGAAGACATAGACTTCAGGAAAGCACAAAGTACATGTTGGAACCCATTCTCTAACTACTGTACCTAGAAATAACCTCTCTTCACAGGTAATTTTTTTCAGTGTTTTTCATCAATGTGGATTTTTTTAAAAATGAAATTGAAAGCATATTGTGCATATAATTTTCTAACTTACCTTTGAAATGTTATAGTCTCTTTAAATATTTTAGACATAAAATTAATATAATCATAATTATTTTTAACCTTCAATATTAGATATTTAGATGCTGACCACTACATTTGGAAGACAGCAAGTTTCTTTTTTAACTAGTGATTTTTTAGATATAATTTGTAATCAAGAAACCCATCTTACTTTGTGGGAATTCCAGAGTATCACCTGGCTATCTGTCCTCTGAGCATGCTACTCTGTTGGGTAACAAACCTAGAGGGAATGCTATTACAAACTACTTGAAAGAGAGTCTGATTTACTGAAAGATCCACAAGGATGCTAAGGTTCTACTTTGTATGCTCTTCTTCCACCATCTGCTGCCTATAGCCTGCCCTTTATTCTCTGTGACCTCTCTACTGAGGCTGGCTTGGCCAGCTCTGCTGCTCTTTTGTCCTCTCAGAGCTGAGATTCTGCCTGGAGATGTGATTTCCCTTTCACAAGCCCTTGCAGCAGCTTATCTTGGCTCAGGATGGGTGAGGTGGCTGCAGCAGTGCAACATTGCCTCATGACCCTGTGTTTAGTCACTGGTCTTTCAGCCAAGCCTTCACAACTTGGAATGAGTACACTGTGATGACAGAAGGGAAAACTATATAATACGAGGGGTACCGCACAGGGTCACGACTTTTTCCAAAAAGATCAGCTAATTCCTATAATTCAGTTAGGAACACTGTTGGTTTCTTAAAAATGACTCATGGCATTGTCACCACTAGTTAAGACTGTGAATACTAGGGTGGTTATTCTCTACCTAGTGCACACCTCTGTTGTCCAGGTTCAGAGCACTGTGGTCTCCCTGTGATCCTATTCTGTGATGTACATGGAACAGTCTGAAGTTGTGTGTATATCGAGACAGTTCATCCCCTTCATTCCTGGTACACTGCAGCTGATTGGCCAGGAGACCTGCTGATCTCATCTCCAAAGACTGAGTGTGATTCTTTAAAGAAAAAAATTAAATTCTATCCTATACATCTATACTAACTTATTATTATAATTATAGATAATTATTGATTTACTGTGTTTTTAAAAAAGTCTGAAAATTCAGCAAGTTGATTTTTTGCCATTTATTTATCATACAAATATTTTATTCAGTATCATGCTTTGTTTCTTAAAATAGGTGAACTAGGCTTTAAAAAAAATACTGCTTACCTTTGTTGATCACACACTTTTCTGAGGTACTACATTGAATAGTACAATTTTTTTTTAATCTTGAGAAACTTAATACATTTGATACAAAACATTTTGTAATCTGACAGAGACAAAGTAACACTTTGGGGTTCTCTTTTCTCTTTGTTTTCAGGGTGCAGGTTGCACAGCCCTGGTGGTAGCTGTAGTGGCAAGAAAGCTAGAACTTACCAAAGCAGAAAAGCATGTGCACAATTTCATGATGGATACTCAGCTGACTAAAAGAGTAAGTTACCACCTATGTGTCCTCAAAGGAAATACTACTACATTTACTTCAATATTCAAAAATACGGTTTTAACATCAGAAGTGAAAATGACATGGTTTAAAAGTTGGGACATTCTTGGAATCTCAGAATAGACTATTTTTAACTTGAGGTCAGTTAGGAAATAATTAGATAATCCTAGTGTTTGAGTAAAAGTAGCTCACGTTAATCTAGACAAATAGGTGCACTTAACATTTAATGCAGTATGCAAAGAAGTAACCAATATCAGAAGAACATACTGTCCATGTAAAATAGAAATTTTATGGAAAAGTAATTGAAGGAGATTGTAGTTTCTGTGACCAAGTCAGTGTTCTAAAGACAGCAGTTGCAAAGATAAAAAAGCCCTAAATTTTAAAACCCCAAGTTAGGGGCAGAGACAGCCCTTTCCATGCCCTCGAGGCCTCAAGAGTGCTGAAATTGGGGCCAGGGATTTAGCTCAGTGGTTCCACCACCTGCCTTGTAAGCACAAGGTCCTGACTTTGATCCCCAGTACCAAAAAAAAAAAAAAAAGAGTTCTGAAAATGGCATAGCATCCACATAGAAGATCACTGTATGATTATGAGGGTAAAATAGTAATCACGATGTTGACAGCCCACTGACTCTTGCCAGGCACTGCTCCAAGTGTGTCACATGTACACGTTTCATTCTATTATTGTGAAAATTTGATAAATGTGCACACCAAGACAGGAGGGTGGATAATTTGATCAGAGTCCTCATCAAGGTACAAAGCCATGTAAGAAGAAAAACATTTTTATTAAACTAAATTTTCAGGCATTTTTTTTCTTACAGTAAGGATCAAACCCAGAGCAAGAGCTCAACTACTGAACCACAATCCCAGCCCAATTTTTGCTTTTTTTGATAATCACTTGAAATATCAAAATACATAACTGAAAATTATTTTATATCAGCCATCATGATCCAAAGTGGAAGTCAATGAGGCTGTCATGGAAAATAACAAAATGCATCATCATTTGATAACTTTACTTATAGAGGAATCCATAGTTTTCAAGCAGAGTTCCAACTTTTAATGTTTTCACTCACTTTATTTTGATTGTATCTGTGAAATGGATCTTGTTTAGCTCGGCACAGTGCCATTTGCCTATAGACCCAGGTATATGGGAGCCTGATATGGGAGGGTTACTTGAGCTCAGGAGTTAGAAGAAAGCTAGGGCAGCATAGCAAGACCCTCTTTCCCTCTCAAAAGAAAATCTTGTTTAATTTGACAAATACATCCCAATAAAGCAGTCATTTTCATGTACATATTTATTTATACAGATTCTGTTTATGAAATGGAAAACTTCTGCTCCACTGGCCTTGCTAATGCTTTCTTAGACTTGCCTACCAGACAATTGCATGAGACTTCACTGCAGTTTTTAGCTCCTCATTTGTACAAGACAATCAAGCCTCTCCATTGTAGATACCATAGTTTTGTTCTTGATTTACCACTTCAGAATGTCTTTTTTTCCTCCATAGTTTTCTCCTTTCTTCCAACTCCTATTTCTATTGTCAAAACTGGAGCATTTCTAATTGGGAGAGGTAAAGAGGCTAGATGGAAGGTTGGGTTTCTTTTTCTTTTCAAAAGTCTACAAAGAAATGAAAACACATACGTATGAGATTATTAGTCCACTCTAGAAATTGTAGCATGTTTTGTATATTTCATCCTATCAAAAGAACACCTCTATAAAGTTGATTGAGTAATCCATATAGTTTTATTAAGATTACACATTCAGAAATTAATGTCACACTTACGATAGTGGGCAGAAAAATGCTTTAAAATGTTATATAGCCCATATGTTTCAAAGAAAGAAATTGTAGCAGAATCACAAATAGGAAAGTCATGTCAGCTTGTATAGACAGATTACCCCGTGTTTCATAAGTTTTTATCTTGATTTTCTAAATGCTACTTTAGAATACTGAGAGTTCATATCTTAATTTTTGAGAGAAATTCCAGGTTCATTTCATAATGCAGTCACTTTATTCCATCGCCTCTCAATGTGACATTATGACATTTTTAGCTAGATAACTGGTGTGGGGCTGTCCTGTGTATTGTAGATGTTTATTAGCACAGTTGGCTTCTACTCACCTAAGTAAATCTTCTCATAATAAAAATAAAAGAGGCAAACATTTGCTCACCTTATTTACTAAAACTATGTCAAGATTAAAATAATTGCTTTCTCCTCTATCTCATTGCCACCAAATCACATGCATGAGAGGAAGTAATGCTATGTGCTAGGTCAGTGTTAAAATTCACAATTTTTAGACATAATATTCCCAGTCTTAAATACCATGAAATAAAAACTTTGTGAGTAATTCATAATCAGATCTTGCAGTAATTTCTCAATCTGTTTACAGTCTGTTTCCACAGAGCTAGTTCAGGAAATATATTGGTTGAAAAATGACCTGCGAAGATAAAGGCTAATTTTTCTTAACAGATAGTCTTAAATGAAATGAATTTATTGTAATTTCTTTCTTCCTTGGAATAATGCTTATTTATTTCACAAAAATATACTGTAGGGCCGGGGATTTAGCTTAGTGGTTTCGTCGCCTTCTGCACAAGTGCAAGGACCAGAGTTCGATCCCCAGTACCAAATATATATATATATATACTGTGTACCTAATATGGCAAGGGTTCTATGTTAACTGCTGAAGATATACAGCTGAAATATATTTTTATATTCTAGGACTCAAAAGAATTTTAGGCTTTTACAGTATTGACCACTCGGGAAATCACATGAAAGCCCTGATTATCCTGCTTGGCAGAAAAATGCATTTGTGTTATTTGTGATCCTTGGGGGCCTCCAAAACCCCTGTCAGGGTGCCCTGCAGAGGGCTGCGGGATCAGGACCTGTGTCTAGACCCAGATGACCTTCCTTTAGTTTTTATGAATGAAACTCTTTCCTTAAACTAAGTTCTCTAAGATTACAGCTTTTTTGTTATAAAGTTTTGTGTACTGTAGATAAATTTCCTGTAGATAATGCTACAAAGAAGTTGTAGAAAGCTTGTCCAGTAAAAAGATACAGTTCTAATTTCAAAGCTCACATTCTGCACAATGCCCATCATGCTTTATTAATTGTAGCACCTCATGATTACTTCTTAAAAGTCCAGCTGCTTTGCAGTATTTCTTTTGATTTGATTCTTTCCAGCAACCAAAGCAGGCTAACAGTTCTCTGCTTTTGGCACTAGGGATTGAACCCAGGGCCATCACACTGAGTGACATCCCTGTTGTGTGTGTGTGTATAACAGGGGCTCATTAAGTTGCCCAGACTGGACTCAAACTTTTCATTCTCTGGCATGCACCACCACACCCGGCTGACAGATCAGTTTTCATAGGCATGATGTTGCTAAGTATAAACACTGAAATGACACTAGAATAAAACATAAACTTCTGGTTTTTATGATACCCATTCCATTATGATGCTCAATACAATATATGAAAATAATAGCCCTTTTATAATCCTGTCTTAATTATTTTATACAAGGTCATCAACTTACTGAGTATCATTTACTTGGAACTTGAGTCTATTCAGTTATTTGTGGAAATTCTAAATGGATCACTATATTTTTTAAATAAGAATTCTAAAATGCTGAATGATCATTTATGAATGGTTTTTGAGGAATAACCAAGAGCAAATAAAGATGTAAAAGCCATATGCAGTTATTAAGATGAGACATTACAAATTCAAGGTACTATATAATATTAGAAAAAAGTTTAAAAATACAACTATTCCCTAAAATATTACATATGAAAAATAATTTCTTCCAATGGCTAACAGACATTTTGAAATTAAAGGAAAAAAATAATATGAACATTAAAAGAATAGGTATTCTCCCAGGAACAAATGTAGCCTTTCAGGCTTTCAAGTGTATGTCTTTACTGAATGGAACAATTTCTATGTACAAGTTTTCAGGGGAACAGTTTTATATAGAAATCATTTCTCAGTATAACTACATTAATGAAATGAAACACTGTTTCTGAAAGCAAAATATTATATATTGAAAGTAAAGCTCACTAGTCATAGTGCACCAGCATTGAGGAAGATTGTTCTGTGTAATTTTGGAAATTTATATGACACATCACAATTCAAAACTGGTAAACAGGTACATGTCCCCAGATTAATCTAAAGATTTCAAAGGAAAGTACAGTACCAAAAATTGAAACCTAACTTATTAGAACAGGATGAGCTGCATAGTACATTTACGGTTTATCATCTTATAGAGCCAATATGTTTACCATGCTATATCTTCTGGAAATTATTACTGCTCATTCATGTCTGAACCTCTTAGTTTGTTCTCAGAATACCTTTATATTGGAAAGAAGCTTGATGCAATTTTGAAAACCCTGACATAATTTTCCAAGTTGCTAGATAAATGTACCAGGAAGGATAATTATACATATTAATGCCCACTGAACATATTTGCAATCTGTTACGTTTAGCAAGAAGATCCATAATAAGATTATTATCATATGGTTATACCATTTTATTTCCTGTGGGCCTTTTTAAAATTTTTTTTTATTTTTATCAGTACATGTTTGTAGTCCATAATGATTACATTCCTTATGGAGAGTTGGAACAGGTACATAACACATCTTAAATCTTTTTTTCATCCAATTCTTCTCCCTCTCCCCAAATTCTAGACCATTTACTCCATGCACATTACACTATCTTTTGCTGAGCCCAGTGGGATACAACATGAAAGGAGCGAATTACTTGCCCGTTCCTCAGTCACACCATCCCGCAAGTATCTGCTCTGAAGGAGAAACGCTGAACAGAGCAAATCCACACCCCTCCTGCATCAGAAAGCAGATAGCAACCTGTGGGTACCCCTTGAATTTGCTAGGAGGCACAGTGTTATGGGGAAAAGCTTCTGAGGAAAGAGAATGACACAAAGTAGTAAAAAGTAAAAACAAACAAAAAAAAGAAGACTCATTGTCAGAGTAATGCAAAACAAGGGAAATTAGTTACAAAAAGTCTTTTGGACAATATGGTCATTACCTGTATCTTAGAAGTTTGTACAGAACAAAGTTTCAGCCAGTAGTCAATATCTACTTTAAGTATTTTGGTGCTTTATAAAGTACTGTTATCCCTGAAATATTTTTCTCTTACCACTTATAGTTTTATTCTCTTATAATTACCTGTGAGACAGGAATGTAACGTATCATGGCCTTTACTCCTGTGAGACTTATTTCAGAGTATCTGGGTAAGTACTATTACAAGCAGTGTGAGTTCTTATATACCCTTTGTTATTTCAAGTTATGATCTAAATACCTGATTATTAATATGCCTTTCAAAAATTGCATAGAGGAAGATTTTAGTAAGAGTTGAACATTGGGAATAACACATTTTCCTTTTCATTGGTGTATGTTGGGGTGGGGTACAAGAGAGTCAGTAAGAAGTGAAGTTAAGTTCCTTTTAACAAAGGTCTCAAAGATACTACCTCTCTTAGGGGCTTCTGAGCTGTCGTCCCACTGCTCCTGGTCCAAAGGAAGGGGCTTCCTGATCACCATCCCTCCCTCTGCTCCCAACCCAGAGGAAAGGGCTTTGGGGCCATCTTCTGTCCTGCTGCTCCTGGCCCAGAGGAAGGGGCTTCCGGCCCACCATCCCTCCCACCACTCCCGGCCCAGAGGGAGGGGCTTCTG